CTGCCGCGCCTCGCTACTTTCCCTTGCTCGATCGCACCTGCACCATGGTAGGCTCCGGACCCTGCGCGAAGAGGCCGAGACGGCCAGCGCCGAGTCGGCTCGCTTGCGAGCCGAATTCGAGACCCACCGGCGGCGTTTTGACCGGTGGAAGAGCATCCGGTACGCCAGGCTCGAGGGGGGGGATTTGCCCCTCTTTTGTTTTTGCCGCCCCTCCTCTTTTTCATGCACCTGCACGGGTGCATGTGCTCCCATCGGCCACGCACGGCGGCCACATGGCTCACACCTTGGACATTCCAGGCAATGTCTTTTCGGCGAGGCACTGCAGCGCGTGCTGGCACGTCTGTCGCCCACATACCGAGCCCTGACCCAGGCCACCGTGGCTGGGGCCACGGCGCCGGAAGGGTCGGCCTTCCTCCAGGAGACCGCAGCCCAGCAGGCCGACGCCCGGCTGGTGGTCGATAACCCGGACGAGCCGTATCTCGGAGCCCTGCGCTATGAGCTCCGGCCACCGGGGAAGGGTTACACCCCGGTGGCGTCGCTGTCCGGTGGGGAGAGGTCGCTCGCCGCGCTGGCCCTGCTCTTCTCCGTGCAAGCGGCTTCATTGGCCCCGACGCCGGAGCTGCTTTCCACCGCCGATGCCGACACCATCGTCCAGAGCATGGCACCTATGGCGCCGGTCCCCCTGCCGGGGACGGTGGCCGAGCTGGAGGCCACCCTCCACCGGCTGGACCTCGCATCCGATACCGACCCGGGCACGGACCACGGCGAGACGGGTCTCCTGGCCCCGCTGCCCGGCGGACCGCTCTTCACCGTCATGGATGAGGTGGACGCGGCGTTGGATGCGGCCAACGTGGCCAAGGTGCGCCGCGCGGAGCACATGCCCTGCTCGGTTGGCCCACCTCTCTCCCTCTCTCCCTCTCTCTCTCTCGCTCGACTCGACTCGACTCGTATGTGCATGCTCGCTGACCCTTCCTCGTGCCTGCACTCCCCCATGGCATCCTGGCGTAGCTTACTCGCTTCCTGTATTACCGGTCGCGGGAGTCGGTCTTGCCGGCTCCGGCCGCCCCAGTCGACCCGGCCGAGCCAGAGCCACCGACGCCGGCGCAGGCCCAGCAGGATAGAGTCAATTCTGTTGTGCGTGCGGCCGGCGGTCTCGTAGCCGAGGATCTCCCCCAGCAAGTTGTGCAAATTTCCCTCCGGCCACGGACCTATGCCCGCGCGGACAGCCTGATCGGGGTCTACTGGGATCGGGAATCACTCACCTCACGGAGCCTGGTGGTTGGCTTGCATCAGCAGCCGCTGTTGCCATGGACGGGCTCAGCGGCCAGCGTGTCTGGCCCGACACCTCCAGAGGCTGACGCCCCTCCCTTCGAGACCCCAGGGCGCTGACAGGGGGGACGTGGCCAAACGACGCCTCCCCCCCCCCCCCCCCCCTCGAATAGACGCCCCTGCCCAGGCCGAGACCGAGCGCCAGAGAGCAAGAGAAAGAGGAGGACAGGGAGAGGCAGAAAATGAGGGGGGACAGACCCGAGCGAGATGCCATGATGGGATGCAGCCGTCGGCATCGACTCCCAATAATCGGACGGTGGATGGGTATATTTGACAGGGCCAGCGCGCGAACAGGCACCCAGGCGAGGGAGCAACCGAGCCAGGTGCCCCCTCAAATGCCTGGGGCTTCGCGGGGTCCCCGGCCCGGCGATCAAACCGCACGCGGCGGGGGGCGCCTCTCGCCCGGCCCGCCCCCGGCGGTCGCATCACTCAGCGGTCATTGAGGGAGGACGAGGGATTGGACGGGGACTTCGGGTGCTGATGGAGGATGAACGACTGGTGGTCCTTGTTGTCGAACGTGTCCCCCTCATCGAATTCGAAGCTGTCGTCAAAGAGGTCGCCCTGCAAGAGCCCGGCCCCGGGGCCAGCCCCAGGGCCGCCCCCGGGGGTGCCAGATGCGTGCAGCCTCGAGAAAAGGCGGTGCTGATGCGAGAGGGAAAGTTGCCGACGAGCACCGGCGCGCCCACCGCCGGGGGCCGAGCTACTTCCTGGCGCGCCGTGTGCCGCCAGGTCAAGCTCGTCCGCACCAGCCGGCCTCGGAGCCGGCACCGGCGCCATGGCCGCCAAGGACAGCCCATCGCACAGGGCCTGATAGCAGAAGCGGAATTGCGGCTGTAGGTCGTCACACACGGGCGGACAGAGGGTCAGGAGATGCCGGAAGCTGGTCCATACACACACACACAGCACAGCACAGCACAGCACAGCACAGCACAGCACAGCACAGCACAGCACAGCACATATGCCCGCGCGCGGGGGAAAGCCGAAGGAGAAAAAAAAGCAAACCCGGACGCACATAGGTTTGGACGATGCCAATCCGCTGAAGGCGGAATCGACGGACAATACGGAACAGCAAGTACGCCAAGGGATCCTGACAACTGGCCACATCTAGCGGGCTCAGGGGGATGTCCGGCAAACGGACCCGGCCATCGGGCTGCAGGAATCCCGTCGTGCGGAGCTGGTGGAGGAAATCGCTGGGGACCTCGCGCGACAACACCGGCAGGTCCTGGCCATGGATGGCGTCCCGCTCCCCCGGCCGGGAGTCCCGGTCCTCCAGCAGGGCCAGGGTCACGGGGACCTGGGCCACCTGCAGAGCATCGGCCATGGCCTGGCGCTCGGACCGGGGCCGGTTGGACTGCGGGGCCAGCTGGCTGGAAATGCGATCGGCCTCGTCAGCCGCGCAGTCCAGCAACTGCAAGGCCGTGTCGGTGGCCGCGAAGACACCCGTCCGGCCGCAGCCGGCACTGCAATGCACCACGATCGGCGGCAGCTGGTACCCGCCGCCGCTGGCACTGGAGCCGGGCCCGCCGCCACCGGATGACGAGGCTTGCTGCGAGTCCGGGCCGGATTCGCCGTCGGGCAAAACCGGACCCAGCTGGTACCCGGCGATGCGAGTCCGCGGCTGCTGATACGACCGCGCCACGGACAGGAGCTCCAAGAAGTCCACGCAACTGGACGGGGTCGAGTGGTCCGGCCAGGTGGTGTACTGGATGTGGGCCGTCCGGTGACGAACCACGCGGGTCTGCCCGGGGTAGCTGCGCTCGGCGGCCGGGACAAACTCATTGTCCTCGATCTGGCGCAGCCGAGCCGGAAAAGGGAGGGTACCACAGGGCGCACACGTCGGGAGTTGGCCAGAGTCAGCGCCAAAGAGGACACACACACACGCACACACACACACACACGGATGAGCCGCAGAACACATGCATCACGCGCGTACCTCGAACAGGTGGACCGTGTAATTGGTGAAGTGGCGCTCCTCCAACAGGGTGACGGCGATCTTGTTCGGCGGGAGGGGCGGGTGCTTGGGCGCCTCCCACCCGCCGGAGGCCGGTGAGAAGGGAGCCCCCCCCGGCGAGATGGACGAATTGGAGGAGGAGGCCGATGAGGGGGACCGCAGGGAGGCGGACCCCTGCTGAGGGCCGCCCTCATCGGTGACACTCCCCCGGCGACTGAAGGGCACACAGGAGGCCGAGTTGGTGGGGATGGATGCGCGTCGGAGGATGCTCCGCATCGAGCGCCAAGTGGACGACGAGGAGGTGGAGCTGGCCGAGCCCCCAGTTCCAGAGCCATCCAGGGGGGACGTCCCGCCGGCATGGAAGTCGGCATCCTGCGGGGTGCTGGAGGTCTTGTGCGAGCTGTCCAGCGAGTACACCTCTCGGCGGCCCTTCTCGGTTGGCCAGTACACATGGCACTTGACCTGGCAGTGAGGAAGCAATGTCCGGGGGGAGGGAGAGAGAGAGAGAGAGAGAGAGAGACATTGTGCCGAGCGCATTGTGTCAGCCAGATCGCACACGCGGGCGCCCACACCCATGTGTGCGAGCACATGGGGGGGGGGGGGGGCGGGGGCAAGGCCGGGGGTGGGGCCGGCCGCCAGGCCGGGAGAAGCCGGGTGGGGGCGGGTGCGGTGGCTGGAAGAGCGGCGTTGTACATGGCCATCACCTCATCGCACCTCGACATACCACATATATACATACATACGCATACATACGCATACATACGCATACATACGCATGGATACGCATACAGAGACAGAGG